CGCTTGGTGACACTGGCAAAGACTCAGTGCAGCAAAGCGCGGCTGTGTGGAAAAAGCCCCGCTCGCTTTTTCAGCGCGTGCCTAAATTTCTAATCATGCAAAAAGCTAAGTTCACCTAAGTTCCCTAAGTTCCTTAAGTAACTTAGGCTAGAACTTACTAGAACTTAGCGATAAGTCCTTATAAGTTCTATAGAACAAACACTAACATCTATCGTATCTTCCTTAAGTTGCTATAGAACATGCGCTACGTTGTATAGAGACTTGCGAAACTTACTTTGGATTATAAGTTAGGATGTAGAAGTAAGAAGTTGGGTTATAAGTCTCTATAAAACATAGCCTAACCCCCACACATGGCAGTGATCTTCTCGGCGGAGAATCTCTCTGTTTCGACTCCTGATGGATGGCGACTGTTTCCATGATCTCGTGGGTGTGGGTATGTCGCTGAATAGTGCGGATCCACCGCTCCCAGGTTCATCCTGCGAATCGGCAACCATATCCATGACCGCAGGAAGAGCCATCAATCCATTGGATCCCCGAGCTGTCGTTCGCAAAAGTTGCAGTACTTGGGCTCGCTGAAGATGCCATTGTGCTGTGTGGGTTATTGTTCTTCTGCAGTTCCTGTACCCGCAATAAACCAGCTGTCTCTCCGTGCAGTGTAGAGCTTGCGATACGGCTGATAACCTGTCAAGAGATGGCAAGATGACGTCCCGTGGGACGCTGTCCACCGAGCCTCCAGCTGTGTGTACTCAACCACGTAGAAAGGGTATACGGCCAAACCGTTATAGCCAAACCAGTGCAAACTGTTGTAAGGGGGTAAAGCCCAATAACCACAATTGCACACTCAATATCAGCAGCGCGAATGAACCTGTTTTCTCTCTCACAGATCGATCACAGGCGAACGTAGTTCATGCAAGACCTGGAGCCCTACTTGTAACTTGAGCCAAAGGTGGCGTCCAATGGAACACTTTTTAATCAACAAGAACATGGACCTCAGAACGGCTTCCAAATTTAGGCACGGGGCCATGAGGGTTTTAACAAACTACATATCACGGAGCACCAGACAACCACTACTCCACCACTCCCCGACAACACACCCTACACTCAGTTTTTCACTGCACTCACACTTGAAGAGTATCAACTACTCTCACAACAACAAGCAACTCCACTTGCACAACTGGACTACACACGACCCATTCACTGCGTCCCTTGAGACCTCCGGATGCCCCACCACAACTCCACGTTTCACTACCTGAAGCAGCCAACGTCCACCACTACCACACGACTTCACTCCACACTACAACTGGCAACAACACCAACTGCGTCATCGTCCAACTACAGATTGAACAACAACTACTCCTGAGGTATCTCACTTCAGGACAATTTCTTCACTTCACCAGAGACTACATTTCCTACATGATGTCAGTACAACAGCACTACTACCTCCCAACTACACCACTCCCACAGACCATCCACAAGGTGAACTACAGCATGACCACCTTCACCGACAACTAGCCTGAGGAACAACTACATTTGGAACTATCCCATGCCCCTACTACTACCTGAACTGCTTGACTACCTCTACAACCGCGACCAACTCCACGACTACCAACACAAGGCGATCACTACCATTCTTTGCAAAAGCATCCAGTACTACGGATTCACACTACTCACCATGACCAACCTCACTCAACATCACAAAGTACTACTACATCGTCTTCTCAGGGACTACGACCAACGTGCCCCGAGATAGACGACGAGCGACTACGAGGGGCCCCAAACTACATGACAACCTTTTTCACCATACACTACTACGCAACCGACTACAGATGGTCCAAGACTATCGCGCCCAGAAATGGGCGCTACATGTTTGAGCTCATGCTCCACTACAACGAGTGCCTGCCTCACTAATTCCATCCAGCGCCCTACATCGAGCTGGAACATGAACAGCGTGAACTACTGAGTGCAGGTCACGACTTTTTCCACTACAGTAGAACTGATCAACAATGGTTTTCATCACTACTGTCAATCCATGTTTTGAACTTCACTTGAAAAGGCACTGCAAAGACCTTTTAACTGAGGGGCCGTGTCAAACTACATGCTTCACTTCTTGCATTTGTGTTGCATGTACTGCAGTTGCCGCAGCCCACTCCCCTGGTGGAAATTGTAAGGGACATGAAAAGAAGTCTCGGGGACACGACTCACAGACAAAGGGAAGCTGAAATTTAAACAAACAGCACGTCCCCAGATGTGGAGGGGAATGACGGGGAAACAAGGATGTATTTTCGACCTTCATTCAGCCTGGCTTCAAGGACCCGAAATCTTCTAGGCGTCGCAAGGGCACTGGGTTGTCCACACGAGCGCTCACATGCCCTCTTGCCTCTTGGTACGGCATTTTGTTCTTTCAAGAAATCGTTCCCGCTTGGAGATGTTCGTCCGATTACAAAAAAAGCCAAGAGAAGGGGAGATAAGGGAAGATAAGAGAAGAGCAGCGCAGAAACAGGAAGAGAAGACGAGGCCAATGTCGGCGGACTGAGCCGGAGGCTCTAAAGTTTTTGCTGTAGTTCTGACTTGGCTTGCGCTTTCTGTGTGTTGATCTGTCCAAACAGTGCTCCGCGCGATTTGCCCTGCGCTTCTCGTGTTTGGTTTGGTCCGACTCCTCTTTGCAGCCGTTTGGAACTGGGCATGTGCACCGGCGTGTAGATGTACGTATTATAATATACATATATAATATAATATATGCATGAGATGTCTGCCCCACCAGTTGAACATGCGGATGAACCGATTCCCGCAGACCCTTTAATGCTTTGAAGGAGGAAAAGGCGCCCTGGGAGGTTTGCAGGTTATGAGCCCAAGCCGCTCGCGCACATGGACGTGATGAGACGGCGGCGGTCCGGCCAGGTAAGCCCTGGCAGGGAAGTCGAGGAGAGCCGGGCACTGGCCGGGGACGAGGGAGAAGATCCTGAGATGGGTGAGTCGATGGAGGGCGATGACGCCCTGGAGGTTCACTCGACAAATGGCCGGACAATGCATCCACCAGGGAGGCATCAACGGCGAGATCGGCGAGGAGCTCATCAAGGACGAGGGAAGCGTCACCGAGAGCCCTCAGGCCGGGCATGGATGATGAGCCCCTGGTGGAGAGGGAACCGAGCTCTACGGCCTCTAGGCGAAGGAGCGCTTCGGAGCAGAGCTCTACGGCATCTAAGCCTGGGAGTACCACGAGGACGAGCCCTTCGGCATCCAGGAGATCGAGCGACTCTATGGAAAGGACCGATGCGGGCCCGAAGGCAGGAGCGGAGGTGAATCCCTTTTGGTCTAAGAGGGTGCAGGAGGAGGTAAGGCTTCGTGAAGCGAGGCCGGAAGGACTGCCACCGGTCCCGGAGTCAGGTGACGAGGAGGAACCGGTCAGGACACCTGCGAAGAGGAATAGGGCCAGGGCCTTCATGTCGCCGGAGGAGCGGTTGGCGGATGAGAAAAGGGAAGTTGCCTTGCAGGCAGTCAAGAGGGATTTGATGCGGGTTGGAGGAGATGGTCCGCCGGAGGAGGGCTGGCGGAGCAAGGGACCTTCGGGTGGAGGTGGAGAAGATTGGGATGGTGCAGGCAGCGCCGGAGATAAGGGAAGGCCGGCGACCCCGGAGGACCGACTGGAAGGGGGAACTCAGCAGGGTGATGATCGAGGAGTACGGCACGGTCAACATGAACCTTGCAGAGGCGTTGCGGCAGCGGAACGAGCTGCGGCACAAGGTGGAGCAGCTGGAGCTGGAAAAGATTGTGGTGGAGGCGGAGGCCGAGCAGAATCGGAGGATGGCAGAGCTGTGGGAATCCCGGGCGCGGCAGGCCGAGAAGCACGTGGAGCTCTTGACCGAGCAGATCACGGTGCTGGAACAACGGCCTCAGCAATTTCACACGCCGCAGCAGGAGGAGGAGCCGCAGCCACCGAGGCCAGAGACACCCCCGCCGCCTCCAGGAATTCGGTCCAAGAGGCAGAAGCTGGAGATGACGCCGGGTGGCACCAGGGTGGCGCAGGATCCACCCCCGTATGATCATGAATGGCCGAACCCCAAAAATGGTTGGGTCATGGATGGGGTGAGTTACAAGCCGGCATGGGGCCGCTCGAGGTCAACGTCAAGGGAAGAGAAGCCGGCCGCAAGCCGCAGACCGAGGTGGACAAGGTCGAGGTCGACTTCCAAGGATGTGGGCGATGCCCGAAAACCAGAGGAGGAGAAGCCATCAGCGCCAGTGGCGCCCCTGCTGCAGCAGAAGCCAAAGAGTCGGCCGGAAGTTAAGGAGATGCCCAACGAGACTGGACGGGCTACGGATCTGCCGGAGTTGGTGGGGGATGGAAGTCCGCTGACCTTCGGAGACTGGATGGCCACGATCGACCACAACATGAAGGACATCTCTACCTACAGCGCGATGTGGTGGGAGGAGGTGTGCGCTAGCGCCAAGGAGGCCTATGCGGAGGGGTTGGTGGCGAGCCCGTTGCAGCGGCTGCGCATCAAGCCGGGAGCTTCCGTTGGTCTGCATGGACTTGCCTTGCACCGAGCAGAGAGGAGTGGCCTTGGTCCTCAAGGCGCTCCCAGAGAATGTCAAGAAGGAGCTGGTGGCGAACAGGCAGCTGAGCATGGTGAACATCATCTGTCGCCTGTGCATCCTGTACCAGCCGGGCGGAGCCCCCAAAACTACAGCAGATCCTGAACGCGCTGCTGGACACCAAGGGTGGGAACGCATCGGAGGTGGCCAAGCAGCTGAGGTCGTGGAGGCACTGGAGGAAAAGGGCGCTGGAGCTTGGAGTGGCGTTGCCGGATGCCACGTTGATGGTGTCTGCCCTGGACAAGTTCGCAGCGGCCCTGTCAAAGCTGGATCAGCAGAGCAGCTATAGGATGTCCACGGTGAGAGCTGAGCTGAACCTGGACACGAGGCCCACGCAGGAGGCGGTGGAGAGCTTCGCGGAGTATCTCCAGGCGGAGTCCGAAACGGCGGAGTTGGCAAAGGGGGGCAAGATGGGGCAAGGAGGTCGCACCCAAGGTGAAGGCGATTGGCGGTGCAAGAAGAGAGAAGGCCGGCCCTTGGAAGCCATCGGGTGGTGGCGGAACTCCCGGGAAGCCGAGGGTGGTGGATTTGTCAAGGGCGTGCAAATGGTACGCAACCGATGCGGGCTGGTCTGGCAACTGCAAGTTCGCCCACGTTTGGGACATCGGCAGAAGCGGTGGAACTGCGGGAGCCTGGAGCATCGCAAGGAGTGTCCGCGGCCACCCCAAGGTGGACCTGGTGGAGGCCAAGCCGCTGGAGGCGAAGGAGCTAGAACCGGAACCCCGGGGAACAAGAAGGCTGTGAAGAAGGCAGCCGGGGGGAAGAGCCATGCGTCGGAACCGGTGGTGGAAGAAATGGAGGAGATTGCAATCGAGGAGACCGTGGGGAAGGACAAGCTGATGGCGGAGGCGACACAGCTGTTGAAGAGCCTCAGGATGAAAAAACTCAAGGCGGCGAGGCTGTCGAAGATCGGGGAGTGCCAAAGTTGGGGGCTTCTTGATGGAGGGGCCACGCATGCTCTTAGGCAAGCGCGGAAGGGTGAGACAGGGGATGACCGCATGGTGGAGCTTGCGGATGGCCGGGAGGTGGTTATGCAGATGACGGAGGATCACACCTTGATCTGCAAGGAAGCCACGCAGGTCATTGTGCCGCTCGGAGCGTTGTACCTGCTGGGCTACAAGATCCGCTGGGAGGAGGGTATCTGCTGCATCGAGCACGCGAGCCGAGGCCCGTTGCCGGTGAGGATGAGGCAGTTCTGCCCGGAAGTCCCGACGGAGGTGGCTCTGAGGTTGGTGGCGGAGTTGGAGGAGTTCAATATAGGGACTGCTCCGGAAGGCGGCTACAGCGGCGACCAAGAGCATGAGGAAGCCGGGCATCAACGCCGACCACAAGAAGGGCCTGTGCGGCAGGGTTGCAGCTGCATGGAAGAACGGAGAGATGGAGAAGGTGAAGGGGGAGTTTAGACAGCTAGCTCTTCCCTGAGGTGCCGGAGGCGCTGCTGGAAAGGGCCCTGGGCACAGGAGAAGGAAGGGGAATTGCGGCGGCAAGGAGGAGGCATGCCAAGGCGACAGGGTTGATCCTTCACCTCTTCGCGGGGAAGAGTGCGAAGAAGTTCAACTACGGACAGTGGGACAGGGAGGTCATTGCGGTGGATATCCTGTCGGGCCAGGATTTGCTGGAGGCAGACACCTTCGGGTACCTGGCTGGATTGGCGGTGGAAGGAAGGACGGAGGGGGTCATGGGTGGGCCGTGTAGGACGTACTCCTCCTGCAGGCACTTCGAACCGGGTCCTTATCCGGTCCGAGGAAGAGGAGAGGAGCTGTTTTGCTATGAGGAGAGCGACGCCGAAGCAAGGAAGGTGGAGGGCGACAGCGTCTTGATGCTGCGCGTGTGGATACTGGCGGTGCTGGCGAACGGTGGCCGGGAGCTGGTGGGTCTGAAGGCATGGATGGTCAAGGAGCACCCGGAGGACCCGAGGAGCTTTGTCAGTAAGGAGGAGTGGGAGAAGGCCAAGGCCCGGGGGGGCGAACCGCCTTCGGTTTGGGACTGGCCGGAGGTCACGGCGCTGGAGGAGGTGCTGGGACTTATTGGGGTGAAGTTTGACCAGGGCGCGATGGGCCACATCAAGCGGAAGCCGACGATGCTGCTGACGAGCATCAAGGATCTACGGCAGCTGGATGGCATGAGGGGACCTGGAGTTGGAGGAGCGGGGAACCGCGAATCTAGCAGCTGGCAAGAGACAGGTCGTGGCGGCGTCAAGGATGGCAAAGGCATCGGCGGAGGACATGTGGAAGAGCCACGTCGAGAATGGCCACACCCCATTTCGCCGGGACTGCAGGGCTTGCATCCAGGGTGGACTCAGAGGAAGGAGCCATCGGAAGAGGAGTCACCCGGCTTTGGCCATGGCGATCGACGTGACGGGGCCGTTCAAGACATCCAAGGAGGGGCATCGCTATCTGCTGGTGGGCTCCTATGTCACGGCGGTGGCAAAGAACATGGCCAAGGAAGATGAAGTGGAGAAGGAAGCCGGAGGAGAAGCGCTTGGAGAAGACCCGAGCGAGGACCCGTTCGAGGAGATGTTCGACGAGGAAGGGGCTTTGAGGATAGAAGGTGAGGAGAGAGGAGAGGTGAGGGTAGAAGGCGAGGAGGACGAGAGAAGGGAGGAGGAGCATCCAGCTCCGGGAGGGCTGGGACCATCATGATGGTGGAGCCGCTGAAGACCAGGAGAGCGGCGGAGGTGATTGCGGCGACCCAGTCGATGGTGGCCAAGCTTCGGTGGTGGGGCTTAGAGGTGGCGAGGCTTCATTCTGATCGAGGACGTGAGCTGGTTTCAACAGCGTCATGGGCTGTGTAAGACGCTGTTGAGAGGCTTGGTATGGACCAGGAGAAGGAGACTGCGAGGAAAGCAGAAAGATGAGGAGGCTGGAGACGATGAGGAGCCGAGGATCAGCAAGGTGGAGGAAGGTGAAGAGCAGGTGGAAGTGTCCTTGGACCCGGAGTGGGTAGGGGTCGGGAAGGGATGGAGGCGATGGCGAAAATGCAGGTGGTATGGTCGCAGGAGAAGGATAGGTTCCTTGAGCTGGTCATGGATGACCTCGAGATGGGTGGCACCGGGGAGGAGTGGGCAGAGGTGCTGGGAAGGCTGGACATCCAGCAGAGCTGCACAGAGGAGGAGATGGTGGAGGTCACCCGCGAGGAACGCCCGAAAGCAGGTCTGAGGGCGATGGATGTGGTGGCGGAAGAGGAGATGTTTCTCCAGACGAAGATCATCGGTCTGGAAGTGCCGCGCGGTTGTCTGCGGCAACCAAATGCAGGAGGAGGTGGAGGGAGGAGCCGATGTGTATGCGTCTGGGGTGGAGGCTGGCACGGTTCGTGCGCTGCTTCGGAAGGCGGCGGCTATGAGGTGGTCGGTGGGCAGCTTGGACATCAGGACTGCGTTCCTGAATGCCCCGAGGAGGTCGGCCCATCGGGTGGTGGTGAGACAGCCAAGGATCCTCATTGATGCAAAGGTCGTTGAGCCGGGCATCATGTGGGAGGTGACGAGGCACTCTATGGGCTGAGGGCTTCACCAGCCGATTGGGGGGCGCACAGAGATGACACGCTCAGGAGGTGGAAGGTGGACATCGGTGGGAGACAGGTGCTGGTATTGCATCAGGCCTTCGCCGACGAGAAATTGTGGAAGATCAAGCTGGGTGAGACCACGGTGGGGTTCATCTGCTGCTACGTGGATGACATGATGATCATCGGGGAGCAGAGCATCGTGGAGGTGATGGCTGGCCACATCAAGAAGGAGTGGGACGCCACGGACCTGGAGTGGGCCAACACTGAGAAGGCGCTGAAGTTTTGAGGCGTTTTGATGGTGAAGCCAGGAGAAGGTGGGGAAATCCTGGTTGGGCAGGAGGATTACATCAAGGATGTCATCAATAGGTACGGGAGCGAGGTGAAGGAGAAGCTCATCCCCGTACCGAAGGAAATTGAGAAGGACGGGGAGGACGAGGAGTTGGACATGGAGATGGTTCGGCGAGCACAAACGCTGTCGGGGGAGTTGCTGTGGGCGACCCGGACGAGGCCGGATATCAGCTATGGCGTGAACCGCATCAGTCAGCTGATTGCGCGGCAGGCGAGGCGAGCCTATGACATGGGAATCTACCTGCTGGGCTTCCTCAAGAAAACGGTGGATTGGAAGTTGGAGTTTGGGGCCGCGGCGGAGGGCCACGGAGAGAACGGGGAGTATGTGTATGAGAGGGGCATGAACACGGTGGAGGTCTACGCAGATGCCGGCTTCGGGCCGGATGGCGGCCGCTCGCAGCGGGGGGTCATCGTATGCTACAGTGGCTGCCCAATTCATTGGACGAGTACGCGGCAGCCGTTTGTGGCAAGATCAACCGCGGAGGCTGTTGTTGGCAGCCATGGAGGGGGTGCTGCAAGGGGAAGCCTGGGCGGAGATCATCGCCGACCTGGAAGACAGGAAGGTGGCATCGGTGTGGGACAGGGCATCGATGTGGAGGGGCGTGACCAGCTGAGGTCGTTGAAGCTGGTGATGATGCAGGACAATGCAGCAGCCGTCACGCTACTGCAGGGCCCTGGTGGGTCATGGAGAACGAGGCCACTCAAGATCCGGGCCACGTCGGCCAGGGAGAGATTTGAGAATGGCTCCTGGGCGCTGCAGCACTTGCCGGGCGAGACGATGTTGGCGGGCATCGGCACCAAGGCCTTGGGAAGCTCTCGCTTGAGAGCACTGGCTGAGATGATGGGTATGAAGATGGGCGAGAGCGGCGCGATCCCGGAGAAGGAGGAGAACGTTGTGGAACCGGGGAGGGGACCGCGGCCAAGGTGAGGGTGGTGCACAGCGTGGAGCACGAACGAGGCCTGAAGGTCTTGACGGGCATCACGTGCATTATGCTAGCTGAGGCAGCTGGCATAGAGGATGAGGAAGCTTCCCGGGAGGAGCTTCTGTTTTGGACGGCGCTTCTGGTGGCGGTGGTGGCCGCGTGGGAGGCGTTGAAGTGGAGTGCGAGAAAGGCGACAAACGTGGTGCGGGGCCTGCAGAAGGGGGAGGACTGCGGGAGTATGCCGACTACCGGAGGAGGAGTGAAGGTTAAGACAATGAAGGGTGGCGAGGAGAGGGCCGCGCAGAGGTTGCTTGAGAAAAGGGCAGAAAGTGAGAGCTTCGAGGAGGAGCGAGGACGGAGCACAGGAGGGGGAGGAAGGCCGGGCAGCCGTAGCGCTGCGGACTGGCTCGAGAGAGAGGTTGACAGAGCCGGGAGCTCGCGTGAGAGAAATGCAGGCTGGAAAGCCGGAGGTGGAGAAGCGAAGCAGACCAGGTCGACGCCGGAGAGGAGTTGCGTGGTGGAGTGGAAGGTCTCCTTGGATGTTGAGGAGGCTGCGATCTGGGAGGACGTGAAGAAGATCTTCCCGGGCATCATGAAGGAACCGGTTGGGACAGAGGACCGCTGGTTGGAGAAGGGCGGCTATTACATCAAAATGCATTGCAGGAGGCGGGTCGCCCAGTTTGACCCACGGAGGGGCTACATGCCGAAGGATAAGATTGGGCCGGAGAGGATCACGGTGATGAGGACTTCGGGGCCCATCTTTGTGCTGGGCGGCGACTACACGGTTGGGTCGCTGTCCGGCCTGAGGGAGTTCGTTGGCTTCACGATCTTCAAGAAGGTCGGGGCGGAGCAGGAGGTGGGGTCTTGAGCTGGCGCCAATGAGCGCAAGGGTGGCTGAGAGCTGTACAGAAGCTCAATGCCATGCATTTTGGGCGGTTGGCACAAAGTGCCAAGGGGGGGTGCATGAGATGTGTGCCCCACATGTTGAACATGCGGATGAACCGATTCCCGCAGACCCTTTAATGCTTTGAAGGAGGAAAAGGCGCCCCGGGAGGTTTGCAAAGTATACATATATATATATATTAATATATAAACACAGATTACGGCGCAATGTGCGCGCCGTAATGTTTGCACTCCGTCCTTCGGAGCTGTGCCCGGGGCCGACGGGGCCGCCGGGGCCGCCGGGGCCGCCGGGGCCGCCGGGGCTGACGGGGGCGCAGTCTCCTCGTGAGGCAATGGCATGGACTGCGCGGCGCTGCGCGGCGTGGGCTCCCCTGCCTTGGACGAGGCATTGCCTTCACAAGAAAACAGCGACTTCAGCGAGAAAACTGCGACCATTCAGCCCAAGGGCATGGACATCGAAAACTCACATCGGCAAGCAAGCAAGCCTGCCCGAGTGTCCATGCCCAGCAAAGTTGCCTCCCTCTGAACCTGCCCCAGGTTTTCGCCAATCACTATTCAACCTGTTCGAAATATTCAGTTTCTTCCAGTCAAAGCTTGGCCTCCGCTAGCAATTCCGGGTCTCCGCATTCCTCTGCAAACTGGAGCCTGCGCAAATGCCCCCAATGCGTCCCTGCGCCATGTTTCACTCACTTTGCAACCCGCCTCTGCTCCATGTCTCGCTTCATTTCAAAGCTCTGTAAAAAATTCTCCTCCTCCCTAGCGTCCACGCTGCCATTGCCCTAAACTCAAGTCTCTGAGTCCCTCGCCCTCGCAAGGCATCAAGAACCTGACGATCTCTGCGCACAGCTACAGCATGGCTCCCTGTGGTCAATCCCGGTATAGTGATGTATAGTGTGGGTCAGCGATGGGCGGGTGGGTCCTTCTGGCCTTGTGAACGGCGTTGGGCACTTCAAGGCCAAGGCTCACAGCTTGCTCTACCCAGACCTGCACGCTCAAGCGACCCTTGGCTAAGAAAACTACAATCTTGGATTCTTTTAAAGTTGGAGAGCCCCACTTTCATCTTTGCCAGTTCAACAAACAACCAATTTTCTGGGTGAACGACCATCCCAAGCCTCGATTTCGTGGCGGTCGCGGTTGAGCAAAGCTTGTCGTAAGCACTTCCATGTCCTCAATGCACACTACTGAGCTCCTGACCTGAATGCTAACCATTGCTAACCGCTCTCCGGATGCTCTCTGGGCTCTCACCGGTCTCACCGGCTAGGGCAAAATTGGATTTCGGCCGAGAGTCAGCAAGGCATCTTCCGCCTCACCAAGCTTCCGTACGGCGTCCTCAAAATCATGTTGCATTTGCTTTTGCGTCATCACACGCAAAGCGCAGAAAATCCATGTGGCAAGCAAGGTGCAAGTGTTTGGGCATCTTATCAAATCCGCCTCGAGCGACAGAGACACCACGCTGAACTTCTTGGCCTAAGTCAAAGGTCGCATGATCATAGCTCCGAGAAATCTTCCACTTGTCCGCGGCACCTCCGCAAGGGCTGCCAAGAGTTGCACTGCATCGCCATCCTCCGCTGCGGCAAGGAGTATGGCCTGGCTTGAGTGCTCAGCGGCAACGAAACATGCAAGTGAAACATTCCGAAGCAAACGTGCAAAGCGGACACGAACTCCTCAAGCAAACCCTTTGCTTTACACAACCCTTTACAGCTTTTTGTGTGGGACCTCTTTCTGCGTGACAGTTTGTACATGATTCAGACAATGCCTCATGCATCATCCGCTTTACATTCTGCCACGAGTGGTACATGTGTTTGTCTGCTTGTACAACCAAACGTGGAAGTCTAGAACATCACGGGCTACAATGTGGCGCAGGAGGTTTCAGCTGGCGCACCCAGAGAATGAGGACATGCGATACACAGTTGTGGAAAAGACACAGACCCGCCGCACACTGCGAGCATGCAGCCAGGTTCACAAATGATGTACCTTGCGATGAACAAGGAGTACATCGCATGGACAAACACAGAGCCGCACAAGATGAGGAACATCCATGGGCGGCTGAGAAAGCCGCAGATCGGGGGACCTGAATCCGTTTGACAGCTTGTGTAAACTGCAGTTTTGCATGTCCAATGGACAGTCTGCACAGGACACCCAGCGAAGGTGTACATTTGGGCTTTACAGGTTGACATGCTATGTCGTAGAGATGGTCGGTCGTGGTTACATGATGGGAATCAACAGAGTGTACCACACAGTGGTCCTACAGGTGCATGCCAACATCACACACATGCTGTCAAGGGAAGAATACAATCTGCACAAGATGTTTCGCGTGAAGGGCATCACAGAGACACGCACAAAGTTTTCCTGGACAAATGGTTTCATATGAGCACCCAACGCAGTTTTGAATCTGGAGCGCGTGGAAGTCAGTACGCCGGAGAACCGCCATGCCACAATGGGCGCAGCCTTTTGTCTAGTGGGTACATCCAGCATCCGCGATTTTGCACACCGCGGCACCAACAGTTGATGGTACAACGCTTGCTGACTGACAATGAGGGCACATTCAACATGCAACTTCGGAAAATGTTAGAACACCCGAAAAAACAAAATTCCGCACACCGTATTCCAGTAATACCGTCATACCTTAGTATGTTCATTCTTACTTTTGAATATATCAAGGTATTTTACCAAAACAAAAATTGATTTATTTTTTGAAAAACTCAATACACCTAAACATTTTCATTTTCAAAAACACATATTTTCCAAAATATTTTAGAAAATATTTTTTTTCAAAAGAGATAAATACATATAGCATTTTAAGAAGAATTATTCAATAAGAAACAACATTTTCAATAATTCAATGAGAAGACTTAATCATCAATCATTTTTCAACATTTGGATATTCCGAAGTTGCGCGTGGTGTCCCTTGTAGGATTTTATCTTCAATATATAAAACGCTATACTTACATTATAATTACAACATATAAGGGTATAAATGTTATAATCATAGTATGGTTATAATCTATCTTATACTCAAGTAATAATATTTATCAAGCTCATGCTCGTAAAATAATTGCACAGCATTAATATTCATGTAATATCGATTCCTGATTTTTTAGTATTTAAATATATGATTCAATAACTGACAGTTGAATACTGAGAATGTTGAACGCTTAAACCGAAAACGATAGGTAGACACAATTGGATATAATTCTTTTCGCGGAACTAATTTAGTTTCTATATTATTTGTTGCCTGAATAAACTTATTGTATATGTTGGTTTTTTCGTCTTCCCTTTTTTTCTCTTCTTCTACCTTTTTAGTTTCACATTCCTTGCAAAATATTAAACTTGTATCACTTGTCGGAAAATCATCATGAACGTGTGTTTCTTCCACACATCCACAATTAGTATTTTCTCTTGATGTTAAAGTCCATCCCATATTTACTATAATATATATAGTGTTTTTTTTAAATACATTTTTTCCAAGAAATATAATTAAATTTTGAAATATAATTATAACAAATAAGGGTATAGATGTTATTATTATAGTATGATTATAAACATTCAAAAATCGGGGCTGTATTTCATTTTGCATTCGTGTTTAATTTTTATTGTAATGGCATATAGTTCTTGATAATTTTTGACTGGACTGAAGCCAGCCTTTCTAAATAATTCTTTGATGTTTAACTCTGTTGTTGATTGTCCATTATAATACTGTAAATGAAAAACATAAATACGTTTCATTACATTATATCTTTGTTTAGACATTTTAGGAAAACTACTTTTATCTGGAAATTTACATTGTATAACAAACAACCAGTTTTTATATTTGCATTGTTCAAGAATTCGACATTATGATTTTGAACACATTCAATCTCACGAATTGGTTCTTCTCTTCTTTGACAGAAAATACATTTATAAGTAAATTTGTAAATATGATTTAATATATTATTTGGTAAATTTATGTGTCCAATGTCTCTATATCTGTTATGATTTAAGTAGTTTTTACATTTACAAGCATCACATTTATTTTTGAGTTCTTGTTTAGTGTCATTTACTAAAACAATATCTAAGAATTTATTAGTAATTTATTATTGCTCTTTCTCTGTAAATTCAATCATTTCTATTATAATATATATAGTTTTTATTTCTTTAAATACTTTTTTTACAAGAAATATAATTAAATATTGAAATATAATTATAACATATGATATTTTACATGTTATTATTATAGTATGGTTATAATTTAAGTTCTGGATAACTATTTAATTGATATGTTTTACTTCTTTCATACATCATTTTAAATATAATATTAATATCTCTCACCATATTTTTAACATTAAACTTTTCACTTCCAATATATGATTTAATGATGTTTTTACATCAAACCCTTCTTTTCTTTGATACTCCAACATCCATAATATGCAGTGAATAATTTCATACTTTTCTTGCTGATTTTAAGAAATGCTTTAACATAATCATAAGGTTGTATTTTATACACAGTTGAAAAATCAAAATGTCATCTTCAACATTTCTTTCATTAAGCCTTTTAATATCCAAATTACATTCGATTGCTTCTTGGTAATATCTCCAATTTCTACAAATTTTACATAAATTTTCTTTACCCAAAGCATAATCAAGAAAATTATTTACTAATCCATTAGGTAAATTTAATTGATCTAATTCCATAATTTCTTTTTTGAAGTGGCAACAGTCGTGGCATTTCTTATTGATATAATTATTGATTTCGGTTTCTACCATTTCTATTATAATATATATAGTTTTTATTTCTTTAAATACATTTTACAAGAAATATTAAAATTGTTATTTAAATTATTATCATTTACAGCTACAATTGCACCTAACACAGTAGGGAATAATATTATTCAGTTCGTGCGATAACTCGTTTGATTTACGTTGCGCTGTCAGATTTGTCATTATATTACCGTTTTAAAATCCATAGAAAAACCGCATCCGCAGTAA